AAAAAAAAGTCTTTGTAAATCATATTACCAAAAAGATTGATTTCAAGTTTTGATAAAGTGAAAATTGTTAATAAAAAATAAAAACTCATTCTGGTTAATCCCATTATATTCCGGCCAACTCTCTTCATCTATCTGGTCTTTAGTTCCCCCCCCCCCCCCCCTTACGACGTTTTGTCGGCAGATATATTACAACTCATCACCTTCGTAGTAAACAATTTATGTGTTGGCGATATAAGGTGGTTATAAGGTAGTATTTTGTAGTATTGAATACAGTATTAGGTAATATTTGGTTGCATTAGGGCTAGTATTGGGCATTTAAACTTGCCAAGTAACTGTCGTCTGCCCGTCTGGTTTTCAACATCTCGGGACAGTTGGCAAACTCACCAAACATCGATATTACAAGCTGCATTCTATATTCTGTGTGCATACACATTATCTTTAAATAAACACCTACCAAATATAAAGTATTCTGGATCCAGCAGATGAAAACTCCACTTCTTTGCAGTATAATAGGCCGAAGAGCAGCTTTGTTATGATTAGCGCTTTGTTGACGTTTCCGCGGTAGGAGTACAGTAGTTTAATCGACAAGGTCCGGAATTTACGGAAAATGTGAAACTTATTTTTTATCATTATCAAATTTTACTTTTCTTACGTTTAAAATATGATACATAAATTAAATATACATTTTGAAATAAGCAAAGTATAAAATAATATTTTTACAAAACAAAAATATGTGTGAATTATTTATCACAGGAACGACAAAATCCGGATAAACTCGTCGCTTCGATTATTATAGTCATCGCTCATTTTGTGTTTCGGACGAGGTTCGCCTTTTTGAGATATTTTTTCAATCTTTAGATATGAGCGCAGTCGTGCTCCAAAACGAAACTTAAGGAGTCGATCTGTTTTCCACAAAGAAAGTCAAAACTAAAATATCTTTGTGGAGCAAAACTGCGCTCCTACTTAATTTTGATGTTGTACACGTAAATTTCTGTTGTTTTCGCGAAAATCTCGTACGTGCGCCTCAATAAACCATCCCGATTTTATATTCAAGACAATATAATTAAAATCAAAAGTTTTTCCAGAACTATAATGCATCTTAATTATTATTTCAAATCATAAAAATGGAAAATTTGTAAAATCATGAATGTCAGAATATTGGGGCAGATAACGGGGCATACCGCATTTGATCCTTTTAAATTGTGTTAATTTGAAATTCATCTTTGTATATACACATATGGACAATGTACCAGTTATTCTTTTCGGTTTCGAAGTTTTAGTGTAATTGTGTATTACAGTACGTTCATCTATGCCTGCGAAATTACGTTTAGCTGTTCATGTCTGTATTTGTTTTCGGCATGGGACCACTATAAGGATAATTCCAATATTCTTAGACATACTTACTATCTAGCTATGTATTAATTAAGAAATGTAGTTTTGAAGACAGTACGAGTTATTGAACTAATAATTACCACATAACCGACTTGTAATTAAGACATGCAATTCCGTAAATCTCTCATATAGATTTTAAATGACATAATTCCTCAAATTAAATAGCAAGTAAGAACTTTATTTGTTTTAAAAACGAATCATTAGCCGGAAAGCTGTTTTTGTCACAAGGCGTAACCGTCTCTACGAACTTTCAGTCATTCCATACCAGTTTTATCTTAATGATAACAGCCGTCTCCACTTCAGGTGCCGACCGTCTCTATAAGGACATAGAGGCCATGATTGGCTACCTGCCAACCAAACTGTGGATGGTTTTATGGAAGTTTATCAACCCTTTTCTCTATGCTGTGAGTATAGCTTCATACATTACACAAGTATATACATGACAGCATAGTGTAAACAAAAATAAGGTTAAGTAGTTATAAACACGGTTTATATTGACACTAAACCAAGTAAAGAGAAATGTAAAGGACGGTGAACATTAAAAACTAACTTCATTCATAGATAATTTGATACGATGTACTCAATTATAGGAAAATGGTTCTTAGTATTGTCTTGTGGCATATCTGAATTCAAATGTACCATCAATGTACCCAAAACGGGACACTTGTAGCAAGACGTCCCAAGGAACTGTCATGCAATTTAAAGAAGTATTGTTATATATGGAATTTTCACTTGATGATACTTTTATGACAATTCAACTGCATACACGTTATTTTGGCTGCTGGTTATCGTTACATGGACAATTTATATGTAAGAATAATTACCAATACAACACTTTCGTGATTTACGCTATATATTTGGATATCATTTTCAAAAGTCTACTTCATCAAAAACAACACTTATTTGGAGAAGAAATTTAATCAGAATTCTGTTTGACTCTAAAATATTTGAAGTATGTATAATTTTCTACTGATACTGATCGTTTATCCCCAAATATTAGCTAAGGTACCAAAGTGTCCCTTTCAGGGTACAGTAACACCTGTTCAAGGACTACATGACCCTGATAGTAGTTTGCGTTCTATTTATAGAACCACGCGCTCGAAATACCAACTTATAATAGAAATGAAAAGTGAATGGTATCATTTTTGGAATTGATAGTATGGTATAAAGTATATTTATATTTCTCGAAAAAGTGTCCCGTTTTGAGTACAGTGACGTGACATGTTTTAACTGAATTTTCTTTTCTTTCAAACAATTAATTAATTTCCTCCATGGTCAGATATTTCACATGCATCCGTGAACGAGTAACACAGAGGATATTGTCAATGAGAATTCTGTCCTGGTCGGATGACTATATAGCTCAGTTTGGTAGATTGTTGGACTACGATTTGGAAGTGCTGGGTTCAAATTTTGGTCTAACCGTTACATCTTTCCTTTCCTGTTGCATTTGGCGCCAAAATAGATTACCGACGGAAGGTGGTATATGGTCTCGTGTGTCGCTGAGGGTCCAGACTTTGGAAATGGCGAGATTCACCATGTGAATGTAAATACTGATGACTCAATACTTATTTTATATTTCAGGTATTGTGGCTGATAGGGGTCATTAACCACAAAGCAGTGACCTATGGTTCGACTCCCTACCCTGACTGGTCTATAGGAATCGGCTGGATCATCGCCATTCTTCCGTTGTTACCAATCCCAGTAACTATGTTCATTACTCTCAGACGTCAAAAGGGCAGTCTAAGGGAGGTAAGTCGTATGTTTTGCATCATAACTCACTTGGTATAATATGTTGTATGATGCATGCTGATCCTACACCTCGTTTGAGATGACGTTACCATGATATTATCTCGTATATAACAAATTTACCATGTGATATTATTCATTTATAGCCTTTAGCTGCGTCCTCGGTCAATATCTCTTTTCTCGGGTCGATACATCCAGGTATCGACCGAAGATAAAGGCTACAATTGTTTTATTATTTTCAAAACAGTAATGTAAGCAATCTGAAAAAAAACACAACAAAAAACTTCGGAAGCGGGACGGTGCATTGTTTGGAGACACGTCATAATTCTATTTTTAGAAACAACCAGTCCTTCAACGAAAATCACGCGCTCCAAGTCAATATCGGTTTTATCGGTGGACACGTGATGCACTTCTAGCCAAGCACTTGTCGGGAATAATATGAAAAAATAATAAATGATTTTATCACATAACCGACCAATGTTATGTCATACGGCCATGTCATAAATATGGTATTACACACGTGTAATAAAACCTAAAGGTGCTGTGATTGGTCAAAACTGTGGGAACATATTCCTACGTCACTATATGTACTACTTTTATTTTCTGATCCACATGATACATTTACTGTTACTTTAAATGGATTTGAAATGGATATTTTGTCATTACTATTTTTATTTTTAAAAAAATCTGGCGATATTTTGTACTACGCGGAACGACTACACTATGATCGGAGTACTTTGGTTTTGACCTATTCCGTCTTTGCGTATTGCAGAGTGATCTTCTCTTGAGAACAGGTATTGATTGTTACGTCATTTGTTTGTGAGAGTAACGTCATCAATTTTTGAGAAAACGACGTAATTTTCTCACACAAACCAATGACGTAACAATCAATACCTGTTCTCAAAAGAAGATTTTGTTTCAAATTATGAATGTTATGTGATAAATAGAACCTTACATTCGTGTCCATGTCATATTAAATTGATCAAACTCGTTCAATAAATTGATATGAACCTCGCTTAAAAACTCGTGTCATATCAAATTATTGAACTCGTTTAAAAAATTCAATATGACACGGACATTCACGTAAGATCCTCTATATCTCAGACAATACGTTGTGATTGATGACAGTTGATAACATGTTGTGATCAGTGTATAATTTAATTACTGGAAGATTAAAAGCCGTATTCCAATGCTCTAAAAGTGATTTTAATTACTTTCCTGGACATTTAACGAGTGCAATTGTCTAGAACAAACACCTTTATAGTAGTAAAAAAAATGACAAAAATCCCTATAGTTTAGCTCTGCTCGACCGGACTTGAAAATATTGGGTCACATGGCCGTTCACGTGGGTTTTCTTCGGGTACTCCGGTTTCCTCCGACATTAAGATCCTCTATGCGCTTTCATCCGGGCCAAAAATAATGATTAATATAAGTTTGAAGACTTGTTTCATAATTGCTATAAAAGAAATAGTTCATAATCACAGCTCTGAACAAAGATTTGATCGCTATACTGTTTACCTCGGGTGTTACTATAAAAAAAGATTTGATCGTTGTACTGTTTACCTCGGGTGTTACTATTAACAAAGATTTGATCGTTATACTGTTTACCACGGGTGTTACTATAAACAAAGATTTGATCGTTATACTGTTTACCTCGGGTGCTACTATAAACAAAGATTTGATCGCTATACTGTTTACCTCGGGTGCTACTATAAACAAAGATTTGATCGTTATACTGTTTACTTCGGGTGTTACTATAAACAAAGATTTGATCGCTATACTGTTTACCTCGGGTGTTACTATAAACAAAGATTTGATGGTTATACTGTTTACCTCGGGTGTTACTATAAACAAAGATTTGATCGCTATACTGTTTACCTCGGGTGTTACTATAAACAAAGATTTGATCGTTATACTGTTTACCTCGGGTGTTACTATAAACAAAGATTTGATCGCTATACTGTTTACCTCGGGTGTTACTATAAACAAAGATTTGATCGTTATACTGTTTACCTCGGGTGTTACTATAAACAAAGATTTGATCGCTATACTGTTTACCTCGGGTGTTACTATAAACAAAGATTTGATCGTTATACTGTTTACCTCGGGTGTTACTATAAACAAAGATTTGATCGCTATACTGTTTACCTCGGGTGTTACTATAAACAAAGATTTGATCGTTATACTGTTTACCTCGGGTGTTACTATAAACAAAGATTTGATCGCTATACTGTTTACCTCGGGTGTTACTATAAACAAAGATTTGATCGTTATACTGTTTACCTCGGGTGTTACTATAAACAAAGATTTGATCGTTATACTGTTTACCTCGGGTGCTACTATAAACAAAGATTTGATCGCTATACTGTTTACCTCGGGTGTTACTATAAACAAAGATTTGATCGTTATACTGTTTACCTCGGGTGTTACTATGAACAAAGACTTGATCGCTATACTGTTTACCTCGGGTGCTACTATAAACAAAGATTTGATCGTTATACTGTTTACCTCGGGTGTTACTATGAACAAAGACTTGATCACTATACTGTTTACCTCGGGTGCTACTATAAACAAAGATTTGATCGTTATACTGTTTACCTCGGGTGTTACTATAAACAAAGATTTGATCGCTATACTGTTTACCTCGGGTGTTACTATGAACAAGAAATATTTCTTTAAAAAAAAGGATAAACGACAGATTGTTTATGCATGTGATTATAAATATTCTGCTATCTGATTTAGTTACCGCTCAAAGGAAAGTAACCTTAGTAAGCTTCGTTATCACATTGTGTGAGACAGTATATTACGCAATCGTGAATATAGAGTGAGATGCCGGGTAAATACGTGAAACAACTGTTTCTTTTACCGCTAGAGGTCAAATATGAGCGATACAATACATAACATACAGAAATAACTTGATACATGTTGCTTTGACGGAAAACGAGGGAAACGTTTAGACCCGTCGCCATGTAGTACACTTCAATAGGGAGGCTATCATCGTTAGCTTGTATCTAAAACTAAATTTATATTTTGTATCAATGCATTGTTATCCACAGCATCAAGCCAGCACTGTATGAAAAAATAACGCGATGAATTCGCAAAATGATCTTTAACAGCTCTGCCGAAAAAAGGCGCTTTATATATCTGTCTGATGATACGGAGTCTGAATAACTATCATTTGTCTTTGACAACTTATATATTGTATACACTGTCACTTTTTATTAAATGTTGTGTTTGTATTGTTTCAGAGATTTTCTAAAGCACTGAAACCAACAAATGAATGGAAGCCAGCTGCTTCGTCACATCTAGACGATAAGGAAGTCGAAATGAGACTGAATGAACAAGGAGACGAGCCCATGTAAATGGTTTTATCATTTGTATGTTTATATAACAAGGTTTCTGGTTTATATAATACAATATATTCACAACTTTTGCATAATATTTTAACTATTTATAATAATGATAGTTCGAGGTTCTTATATACCGCTTTATCACAACCTAGTTCGTAGGTCGTCTCAAAGCGGTTCACAAATTATTATCCGTAGTAACAAGGCCTTTGCAACCAGCCAATATCTTTCTCAACTACCTGGGGAGCATACCGCCGGTGCTGGGCGCCATTTCGGCGCTCAAAGCTAACATTTTAACAATTCTAGCACTGCCCAACCACGTACTCATTTACAGCTGAGTAGACTGGAACAAGCGGAGTAAAGTATCTTGCTCAAAGATACAACACAGTGTCGTGCCGTGACTCGAACTCGCACTCCTTTGGTCACGAGCCCGGCGTTCTACCACTAGACTACCGTGCCTTTTTAAAAACAATATTTTTAAACAAATTTTACCAACTTTTATTAATCACTCTTGTTGGTCTGCATGGTAGCGGATTTTGATGTGGAAGGAAACCGAACTACACAGGAACCAATAGGGTCGGAAAGGTGACTAACCTTTTTATAAAAGGCTATGAATACACTTTTCATCATCATAGCTCTTTTGTAGGTACAAAGACAATAGCACGTCACTTTGTAAAGAAACACACAATACAGTGTAGTTTTATACGACATACAGTATCACGTGTCTATGTAAAGTAAGCGTAGGTCATCTTACATACAGTGTAGTTTTATACGACATATAGTATCACGTGTCTATGTAAAGTAAGGGTAGACCATCTTACATACAGTGTAGTTTTATACAACATACAATATCACGTCTTTATGTAAAGTAAGTGAATGCCATCTTACATACAGTGTAGTTTTATACAACATACAATAGCACGTCTCTATGTAAAGTAAGTGAAGGCCATCTTACATACAGTGTAGTTTTATACAACATTTTTAATATCTCGTCACTATGTAAAGTAAGGGTAGGTCATCTTACATACAGTGTAGTTTTATACAACATTTAATATCTCGCCACTATGTAAAGTAATGGTAGGCCATCTTACATACAGTGTAGTTGTATACAACATTTAATATCTCGTCACTATGAAAAGTAATTGTAGGCCATCTTACATACAGTGTAGTTTTATACCACATTTAATATCTCGTCACTATGTAAAGTAAGGGTAGGCCATCTTACATACAGTGTAGTTTTATACCACATTTAATATCTCGTCACTATGTAAAGTAATTGTAGGCCATCTTACATACAGTGTAGTTTTATACAACATACAATATCACGTCTTTATGTAAAGTAAGTGAATGCCATCTTACATACAGTGTAGTTTTATACAACATTTAATATCTCGTCACTATGTAAAGTAATAGTAGGTCATCTTACATACAGTGTAGTTTTATACAACATTTAATTTCTCGTCACTATGTAAAGTAATTGTAGGCCATCTTACACACAGTGTAGTTTTATACAACATTTAATATCTCGTCACTATGTAAAGTAATTGTAGGCCATCTTACATACAGTGTAGTTTTATACAACATTTAATATCTTAATTGTAGGTAATCTTACACATAATGTAGCTTTATACCAGATACAGTATCTCGTCACTATGGTCCTCTGGAGGGTAGGCCTATCGAGTTGTTGATCCCTGCAACATCGCTGATGTGATAGTTATATATTAGACTCATAGCAATTATCCGCAATATATTAATATTGTAAAAAATATTGATGATATATTATAAATTCAATCACACATGTTCACACATTCTGATTTATAATCGGATTTCTAAGTGAATGATATATTGAGGCTGTATTTCATTGTGGTTTCAGTTTAGATAATTTAGTGTGATTTACCTTAGCAATTGGTGTCACGTAAAGAGAGAAAAGTAAATACCGTTCAAAATCAAATCCACACAAGCAAACACTGCCTCCAAACACGTGGTATGTGTATAGGTCGTAACTAACATTACTGGTACTGTGTAGTAACCTTCCTATTTACATATTTTATTCATGTTGCTACAGTAACGCGACTTGAAATTTCTGGACGATGTTTGTATGTCCCTCTTGAATGCTTGAATGGTAGGGGCATTTATGTCTGAATCATACTGAGTATTGCTGGAAGGAAACGTTTGATTTAGTTTTCAGAACGACATCAATAAGTATTGAAGTTCTTTATTTTATTGTTTAGAAGAATCCTACAACAGGGGATTTAACAATGAATGTTTATATTACATCATAAAGATAGGAAGGCGATAAGTTAAATCATTACTTTGAAAGTTATCATTTAAAAGTAGTACATGTTTCCCGTTTTGCGTTATGTTTCACAGTTCAGTTCTTTAAGTATTACTTTGTGGGGTAATAGTTCCACACGAATGTTCTGTTGTGTTGTGTAATAATAGCACTCCACATCTGTGTATTTTATAATTAGTCTGATAAAGATATGTTTATATTGTTTCCGATATGTTTTTGTCAACTATGCATTTAAGACAATGGAATATATTTATGCTTTAGTTGTTTCTTTTTTCTTACTCGTAGTGGATATAATTAGCTGTCCATCTCATTGAAAATATAACCAAGTTGTTACAGTTTGATATTTCAATAAAAATATTTCGAAATTGAACTTGAGGACGATAAGAGTGTTTTTTGTTTGTAAACATTATATACTGTAGACGAAACGAGATTTATATCACCAATATATTACATATATGTCTGTCACAAAGTTCATACAGGGAACGTAACAAAATAAAAAGCAACGGTCACTCCATGTCCAAGCTTTCGGGCTTAGCCCTCCATCAGATATAGAATGGTCCTCACCCTTCTGTCAAATCCATATTTGTATACAGGAAGTTCACTCGCACAAGGGTGAGGACCGTTCAACCCCTGATGAAGGGCTAAGTCAGATAGCTTGGCCATAGAGTGACTTGCTCTTTATGATAATTACATTTCTCCACTAAATCATCATACATGCCGCTATGTATCTAATTAGATCTACGACAAAAGATATTCAAAAATGAAAAGTACAAGTATTTCCGGGAAATACTCTGTCAAGTTAAAAAGGAGGAAAATTACTTCCGTTTGCCAACTCAAAAGGACAAAATCAGAAACCAAAATCAATTGGAAACGGAAATGTCTACTAAATATACGGAAATGCTAAGACGGAAATGAACCCGACAAACAAATGGAGCTGAACCAGATGTTCAGAAATAGAAAGCTTTTCCTGCACCATGTAAGACGTCATAATGTCTGACGTATTTCAAGGGAAATGAATGTAAGTTAAAGTGAACAAGTTTTCACTGAAATAGCATTGCTGGAGATGAGGTCGAGATGGCGACCTCATGTCTTGACGTAGACTATATATAATAATCTTCTGAGGAAGAAAATCATGATGGCTCTTTAAACTGAATGGGATTTTTTTCTGGAAAAGGTGTATAACAGTACGTTGAAAAGGACGTATTTTAGCACCTGAAACAAAACATTTTTGTTTCCTAGTGCGTTGCTTGGCAACACCTCACTTTTGGCCTTAATGTTGTACGTTCGCCGAAGTGGGGTAGACATTTGGTTCTGTCCGCAGGCCTGGACATACCAAAGTTCTTAGAAAGGGTAGTTGTTAGGGTAATGGCAACAACTGGTTACCCGTTGTCAGTATAACGAGACCGGGTGGAATATAGGATTGGATGTATTCGGCATGGAATTTCACTATAAACTCTGCAGCAGATCCGCGCTATCGCAAAGAGGCAAATACACTAAAATACCCAGTCTCCAGCACATGTACATAAGCACGTATACATTACACACATGGAGGCGCGTCATTAAATGACCATAGGTGTTAATAGGACATTAAACAAATAAAACCAAACCAATTAAACAACTTACCGCTCGCTCTCGACTTGGTCATGACGAATTGTCCCAATGGTGTTTCCAGAGCGGATCCTTGCATTGCATCCTCGACACTCCAGAATTACGCTCACTTACGCTCTCTGCACCCCTGGAATATGTCATAGTAAAATTGAAGGCACGAAGATAGCTGTTTGATTGGTCTTATGCAAAAAAAAACCTGACCAATTTCAAGACTGATACCTGTCCTTAGAAGATTACAAAGGAGCGACACCCAACTTCAAATTCTGTCAGTTCTTTTGATTACATCAAAGGATCGGAATAGTCTTCTTTTCTCATCAACAAGGTGGCGCACACTGAGCCTTAATTTTGCTATGACATATTCCAGGGGTGCAGAGAGCGTAAGTGAGCGTAACCCCATGAGTATCGAGGATGCTGGCATTGCTAAATTGGTATTCTGATGAACTGTCAAATGTCTTGGAAATAGTTTAGTTAGAAGCCGTTAGAGTCGAACCTGGTCTTTCCTCTATCGCCTCTTTGGAATCACTTTACCTTAAAACTAGATGAATACCTTCACAATCCAGGAGTCAAACGTTTAAACTCGACGCTTTAGACAGATTCGTTCGATATCATCTTCATCGTTTGTTCCTGATATAATCTTTGTCAGGATTTTCGTTACAAATAGAAGGCTTCTATCTATATGTTTTCGAAATTTCGGTTATAAAACTACGGATCAGACACAGCTACAGTGTAATGTGGTATATTACGTGCATGTATTGTTTTCTTACCTACCTGCCTTTGTTGTTTTAGATAGAATATATTTGGGTGAAAGTCTATCAGTCAAAGTTCCAATATTTGGGTGAGTTATCGGCTTTATCAGGTTTGATGTCAGTGTCGTTTATTATAATACGTATCGTTAGCCCATACCAGTGTATTGCGTCACACATGTAATGTCACCACGTCACGACGCCGTCAAAACGCAATCTTGTGGTGGTTCTCATCCTCGATATCCAGGGGTTAAGCTTACTTTCGCTCTCTGCACCCCTTGAATATATCATAGAAAAATTGAAGGCTCGGTGTGCACCACCTTGTTGATGAGACAAGAAGACTAGTTCGATCCTTTGATATACATCAAAAGAATCTCGCGGTCGCGTAACGGTAAAAATTGATTGACTTTGAAGTCGGGCGTCTATCCTTTGTAATCTTCAAAAGACAGATATCAGCCTAGCGATTGGTCAGTATTTTTTTCCTGAGACCAATAAAACAGCTATCTACGTGCCTTCAATTTTGCTATGACATATTCCAGGGGTGTAGAGAGTGAAAGTAAGCGTAACCCCTTGATATCGAGGTTGGGTGGTTCTGTGTACACAGGGAAGCTCTTAGCAGCAATGCAATAGGTAAAAATGAAAGAAACCAGACCTCAATGATGATTTGTAGCGGCCTTTCCTTCCATATGTATCTTCACACCGGCAGGAATCGCTTGACTTCAGATGCAAGAATTTAAAATAATAAAATAGGTTCAGCATTATTCACATACATTATATTTAAAAAAAAAAAAAAGTTTTAGTAGTGTCTTTGTTATTAAGTTTGATCAAGCATGCACTCCATAGTTTCCAAGAGAAAACAATATGCAAAATCTTTACAAAAAATACTGAACACTCATTTCTCAAAATACAAATCTATTCATTGCAACCATAATTGAAACACTAATATATATTCAAAATTAAAGAGGCCGTGGTTTGAAGGTTTCGAGCTTTGATGAATTTGGGAATAAAAAAAACCATCTTAGCGAGTTCGAACAATGTAAAAATATCCTCTATAATGTTGCAGAAAAGTAGTTACATTAACGTTATCGTGACAAGTGGCCCATTAGTTGTGATCCGTGTTTTATCAGCAAAAGGTCCGGGGTTCGTGGCGCTTGGAACCAAGACGTTTTATTAGAAAAAAATAGAAACTATGATAAATATGTTTTCGTACATCAGTGCTGTGCTATGATAAGTCAGTCGGTAATCGACTCCAACACATAAATAATACAAACAATATTGGAACTCTTCTTCGTTAGAAACACAACATGAACAGAGCACAGGGTATTACTTTAATATATATTTATCTAGTCATTGCGAAAAAAATCGAGGAGATATTGAAGTGTTAACAAATCCCTTATGGAAACTCAAAGTCGATAAAACTAAGGAAAAATATGATCAAATGAAATATCTTCATGGAGTCCCTTAAAAAGGTAGAAGGATAATAAGACCAAGTGTTCCTGAAGGGTAAGCGTCTTCTGCTTCATCGATGACACCTGCCATGTAAATCTAAGTTGAATCCAAGTGATATTACGTCCTTACATCGAAATCTCGGGTATTGACAAGAAAACCACAAGGCTCCCTAATAAGCTCTATTTCAACAGTAGTTTAAACAAATTTGGATTTTTAACTTTTGGGCCCCTAGCATTACCGATCACATCGCTAGGCTGTTACCTGTCCTTGAAGATTATTGAGGAGCGACACCCGACTTCAAAACAGTAAATTTTACCGTTATGCGATCGCAAGATTATTTTGATGTACATCAAAGGATCAAACTAGGATCAGAGCCTTCGATTGCGTCATTACATATTCTAGGTATACAGAGAGCGTAAGTGAGTGTAACCCCTGGATCAGCCTCGATATCCAGGGGTTACACGCTAACTTTAGCTCTCTACACCCCTGGAATATGTCAAAGCAAAATTGAAAGCACGCGGCTAGCTATTTGATTGGTGTCAGGTAAAAAAAACCTGGCCAATCAATTTGCTGATTGATACTTGACCTTTGAAGATTACAGAGGAGCGACGCCCGACTTCAAGGGTGCAGATCGAGAGCGGATATCGAGGAAGTCCCTGGAGTATCTGTATCAATTACTGACATCACGGAATTAGATTAAAAAAATAATAGTGCAATCTGTTACGCGTCTCTGATAATACGTACACTACCTTATTCAATCAATTTGAATGTGTATATTTTTTTTTATATAATATATTATTGATATAACCATTTTTCATTCAAATATAAAATATAGTGACATAAAATGTCTAAATTCTATTACTAAACAACCATTTCTAATTTAATTTTTTATTTCAAGCAATGCTTAAAGAAATAAACTGTTCGGTTTAGAATATACTAAAAATTAATATAAGAAATCACTATATGTCATATATGTGATACCATTGCATGTATTTCTGCATTTTACATGTACATGCATATATATATAACATTAATTCATTATCAAAATATACACTGTATTATAATTAACTGATTGTATTAACAACAGCTATGGTAGCCAGCTGTGGCTAAGGACCACACTAAAGAGTCTAGATTAAACCAATTATCAGCAACGTTGTTTAGTACCGAAACGACCGAGTACGTGAACGGCTTCAGTAAAGGTAAGGGTTTCGGTAGTCGGTCGTTTCGGTACAACCTTGTGTACTCCTTAGCGCTACTGCGCTAACATGAAACGAAAATAATCCGGTTCATGTACAAACCCTATAAAATGACATAATATAACCAATTCGAATATTTTGATAGCACTCATTTATTCCGAATAGGTGAGCCTACCTATTCGAATGACATCATAATAGGTCCGGCCGGAGAAATGATCTATACAATTATTAGCCACGCCGTTGTCATATTGTTGTTATTTGGGTCATAATACGATGCGTGATTTTCTGCCGAGATTTTCTTGGCCTCTAGAAAATACTTGGACTGTGCAAGCGTATGTATCCATGGGTTTTCCAATTGCACAGAATTGAATGTTGCAGCAAAGTAGTCGAATGGACCGGTGATCGCAGACGTCCGCAGAGTTCAGCTCAGCTGCCAGCGATGGCGAATCTTCATTATCTTGTCAGCTTGCAATTGTGCGTTTCAGTAGGCCTTGGCCTACTTTTCTCAAGCGTGTGTACACTTGTAAGTCAGTCGAAGGAACTGCAAGTAGATTCGCTAACTTACTGTGCCGCTTCAATAGAAGGATACGGAATAATTAATTTACTGCCTTTGGATAACATTAACGAAGATCCGTCAAAGAGACCGAGGTAAATATCAGCTGATTACCGTATCAAACTTCTTAGCACCCAGCTAGTAACATAGTGTTATAATGTAGAGTGCGTTGCAGTATTTACAGAAAGACAATAACAAGTTGGGACAAATCAACCACTTTTATAATGAGATTAAATGTTACTTCCAAGATGGCCGACAGGCAGCCATCTTGAATTTGAGAGTTAAAGTTTGTTAGTGCTGTTCCTCAGAAAGTACTGGAGGGATCTTTCTCAAAAACTAAGGTTCCCCATAATCCATAGTTATGCAAATCGTTTATTGGGATTGATCACAAAACCAAGATTTCTTAAACTTCATATGAAGGTTCCCCAAGATCCCTAGTTATGCTTATTGTTTTTTTTGGACTGATCATAATACCAAAATGGCCGACAGGCAGCCATATTGAATTTGAGATTTAGTTTGTTAGCACTGTTTCAGAAATTTTCATAAAAGTTCCTCATGATCCCTTGTTACGCATATTAAATTTTGGGACATGGGGAATCCTAGATGACGGAAAGGCAGCCATCTTAAGTTTGAAAGTTAGTTAGCGCTATTTATCAGAATGTACTGGAGGGATCTTTCTCAAATCTTACATGAAGGTTCCTCATGATCCCTAATTATGCTTATCATATTTTGGAACTGATTGCAAAACTAAGATGGCCGATGAATTTGAGAATGAAAGTTTGATATCAGATGTAGGTTCCAAATCATCCCTAGTTATGCATATCGCTTTTTTGGACTGATCACAAAACAAAGATGGCGGACAGGCAGCCATCTTGAATTTGAGAGTTAAAGATTGTTAGTCCTATTTCCGAGAACTTTTGGAAGAATCTTTCTCAAATTTCTCATGAAGGTTCCCCATGGTCCCTTGCAATTGTTATGCATATCCTTTTTTCCGGACTGATCACAAAACCAAAATGTCCCACAGGCAGCCATATTGAATTTGAGATTTAGTTTGTTAGCACTGTTTCAGAAAGTTCTGGAAGGGTCTTTCTCAAATTTTACATGAATTTCCCCTTGGTCCCTAGTTATGCATATTAAATTTTGGGACATAAGGGAAAATCAAGATGGCCAACAATTGGTCATCTTGTATTTGAGAATGAAAGTTTGTTAGCGTTATTTCTCAGAATGTTCAAGAGGGGTCTTTCTCAAATTTGACATGAAGGTACCCCATGTTTCCTAGTTCCGCATTAGGAATTTTGGGGATGTTTGGAAAACCAAGATGGCTGGCAGGTAGTCATATGGAATTTAAAAAACAGATTTTTTCTTTAAATATCAAATATGTGAAAACCTTCGAATACCTTCTTCTGAATAAACAGGAGGCCCAGAGTAATGATATTTGAACAGTAGGTACTTGGGACAGAGTTCTATAAACTTTCCTCAAATAAATTACCTTGACCTACTTTCAAGGTCATAGGGGTCAAATATGTAAAAACCTTGAAACAACTTCTTCTGAATAACCAGGAGTCCCAGACTAATGATACTTGGCCAGTAGATATAGGTACATTTTGTACCTGGGACAGAGTGAAAAAAACGTTCCTCAAATAAATGACCTTTGTTTTACTTTCAAGTGTACAAGGGTAAAAAGTATTAAAAACCTAAACCTTCAAACGTCTTCTTTTGAATAACCAAAATGCAAGAGAACTAGAGCAATGATATTTGGCAAGTAGGTACCTGGGACAGGGTGGTAGAACTTTTCCTCAAATAAATGACCTTTACCTACTTTGGAGGTCACAGGGGTAAAATATGTAAAAACTTTCAAACAACTTCTTCTGATTAACCAGGAGGCCCAGAGTAATGATACATGTCCAGTAGGTACCTGGGATAGAGTGCTATAAAGTTTACCCAAATTAATTACCTTGACCTACACTTTCATAGTAACAGTGGTCAAATATATGTGAATATCTTTAAACAACTTCTCCCACAATACCAGGAGGCCCTGGGTGATGATATTTGACCAGTAGCATGCTGGGATAGAGTAGCATAAACTTTCATTTAGTCCGGAACATTCTTAAGCCAAGAAGACTCCATATATGGGAATATTTGCAAAAACACTTTTTTTGAAAATATTTTCCAATGATTGTTCAAATATCCAGGTGAGCGATACAGACCCTTTGGGCCTCTTGTTTTGAGATAGCTCCCAATGCATCTGCTAATATACATGTATAAAACTAGCATTTACCCACAATACAAGCCAAAACATACTGAAGTGTCCCATTTAGGGAAGAGAGTTACGCATCTGTTAAGGAGCCTAACTAATGTATGTGTTACTGTATTTTGTATTCTATTTATATAAAACCACCTGCTAGAAATATGAGCTTTCAATAGAAAACCAAGAAAAGAGGATGTGTTACCTATAAATAAAGTTAACATTATCAGGATTGATATAGTATAATATCGTATAAATACATATGTACGTCAATATTTGACTGAAAATGTCCCGTTATATATGGGTTCATTTGATTTTGAAGATGGTCCGTAGATGGGGGACTAAAGAATGTAGGATTTTCTGTCAGTTTATATTGATTTTAATAAAGAGCTAAATATAAATTATGGTTTTAAGCAACTGTAATTAATTATTATTTAATTACCGTATCTCATAATCTGAACAGTGTCATTTAACATATAGGTAGTTTGAAAAAAAAAATATATATAATATATATAAATAAAATTACTCTCCCTGTACCACTTGACTACTGACCCTATTCATTTTTTAACTTGTCACCCTAAACGCATGCATTTTCATTTTGCCACTAAAGCAAAATCCAAAATGTATAGTGATACTTAAATATGTGTTCGTATACACATGCCTACATTTAAATATTGGGATAACTTCGCATTTTAGTAGCACAGGTAAACAGTTGTGTCCCGAGACATGCAGGCAAACTTTTGTTCTTTTTATTTTGTTTTGATGAAATTGGTAGTCACAAAGGTGTAATTGAATTTGTGTGTTGGTCGTTGTCCTTGAAGATATATATAGGCACACTATATATAGTCAAGCTTGTTGTTACTGAATCTTTAATACAACTTCTTCTGAATAACCAATAGGCCTAGTGTAATGACATTTAAGCAGTAGCCTGCTGGGATAGAGGGCTATCATATTTGTTCCTAAGAATCACCTTGACCCACTTTCAAGGTCACAGCAGGGGTCAAATTTGTGAAAACTTTGAAACAGCTTAACTAGTAACATGCAAATAAGGGGCTATCAAGTTTGTTCAAATAATGAACTTGACCCACTCAGTAGGTCACATAGTGATACATACTATACAAGCTGAAATTTGTTAAAAAACATTTTAACACTTCTTTCTGAATAACTGGAATTCCTAAGATTTATATTTTGCCAGTAGCATGCATAGATATAGGACTATCAAGTTTGTTTAAATGAATTACAAGTACTCTGACCTAATTTCAAGGTCACAGGGGTTGGATTCTCTAACACCTTAAAACCTGTCTAAATTTTGGCTATTTGCATACTTTGGAAAAGGACTGTCAAGTTTGTTCAAATGAATGTCCTAATTATTTGTCCTAAAATTAATCATCAAGAAATCAATTTCACTGACTAAATGTAAGCAGACAGTGTCTTCCCATCTAGCCAGAAGATTCCTGTTTTACTCCAGTGGTTTGCCATGGGACAAAACGTTCGGTCTGGTACAATTCAGATAAGTTGCGGTGTGGATACTTGTAGAATACAGAGTCCCGATAATAGCTCATAAATCAGGGTTCTGATGGTGGCTTACCTTTAAGTTAAAACATGTTAACTTAAGGCTGGAATAAATTCATCAATTATAAAGCAACAGTCTGCGTCAACATTCCTTAGGAGTTTTTATCCTATTTTATAGGTCACAGCTGCAGGTACATTTTGTATTGGTACATATACCTGTATAAATTCATAAGAATAAAACAAAGTATGTTTTTTATATAATTATTATAATACTTCATCATATGAACATGGAAATGCATTTTTCAACCCCCTGCAATATGCAATAATTTGGGGAAGATGGGAGGGGTGGGGGTGGGGGGNGTCTCTGTCCATCTCTTTGTGTAAGAACATAAGAACATTTCTGCTAATCCTTATACTAGAGGTTTAAGAAGATATCTAATATATATTCTTTTCTCGTTTTCTTTTTTAGGTTCTACGTTGTATATAAAGACCCAACAGAGCGTTACACAATCAGCTACAATTACACATTTAATCCTTGTACCTTTTTCAACGAACCCGAGGACCCTCATCAAGTTGACGGCTTTGGGGATAAATGTATTCATGTGGCAGTAAGGCAATACATACCTTATTCAATCTAACAAGTGCCCATGCAATCCTTGGTTTAAACAATATTTTATTTCATTCGTCATATATATAACAAGTTATAACACGGGTGAATAGGAATAGGACCTGGCAACAAGTTGATAAATCTTATTTAAAGCCATCTCCCTTGAAATGTAATTACAGTAGAGAAGTACTTCAAGATACAGTTAATCAATGCACATTAATTGTTTAAATTAACTGTTTGTGATAATGCTGACCATTTTATGTGATGAACCAAAGAAAATCTTGGTAGGTATGATCAAAGAAAAGAAACAGTAAAGAAGGGAGCATGAAAAGAGCCTACTCCTATAACATAAGAGGCCGCTGGTCAGTTTTTTTTCTATCGGATATGATTTGGCCGACTGTGATGCGCCTGTCAAAAGTATTTCGAGGTGTAAACCTCTAACACTGTTGGAGTATAAAAAACCCCCAACTGGCACCTAGAATCTACCCGACTCTAAAATGTGCCTTTGTACCTTATCAAATATAGTATGTTATCTTATTGAGACAGATTTGGTGCAATCCTTTATAAGTGCCCCAACACTTTTTCTTGTCCGAGACCTATATGCACCCCTTCACAATAACTTACCTACATGTACATCATCTACATATAATAATTGTTTCAATAAGGGCGACTGCTCTAATGACAGTCCGAGTGAGTCCATTGATTGATGCTATTAATATTACCAGTACTAGTGTACATGCACAAAAAGGTTCTGTATTCAAGCTTAACTCATTTGTTTCAGTTTTGCAAGTTCAATAGGGACAAGAGACGACATTACTACTATCCTTATGGATTACAGAAAACCGCCAAATTCTCAGCAAATATTTTGGAAAATAAATCGGATTCGGCCCAATTCTTCCTTTCTTTTACTGGAAGTGGGTAAGTTTTATACAGGCATACAATGCAGTAGATTCTAATATCATATGCATTATAATTATACTTCATTTATGATAGGGTGTGTTTGATTGGTTCAATCATATCACATGACGCGGAGACAAAATAGTGAGTCTCCCCACTGGTGACTAGAAAAGGAGTAAAATACTCAAGATTGGGGCAAAATAACTGGGAAAGGAGTGATAGAAAAAGTTACGAGTAAAATAACCTGGAAAGCCTCACATGATAAAATCTCTGCAATACAGTGTACGTTTCTCCCTCATGGAAGATCTATTTTCACTGTCAAGGAGCTATATATAGCCTTCTTGGAGCTTCTATGATAACAGCTCATCAGCATATCAAGATCATTTCATAAAGAGAAACAATTACTGCAGTTCAGGAAATGTACATAAAATTATTTTCTCTCACGAGGTGCAAAATTATCTAAAGTTATATACAAGGAGATGTCGATCATCAGGTTTTGAGCGTGAACCTTTTTCTGTTTATGTAATTAAAAAAGAGTATCAGCTTGCAGATATAGATAGAAATGAAAATTAGATCAGGAAAGGAATTGTAATTTTGATTGTTATTTCAGATCGGTGTCCATGAAAGTGACAAGAATTCATCTCAAATGTAATAGATCCTTGGTTGATGCTGAAGATGCAATATTTTCTATCCAAAAGGATGATGAACGGTTTGGCATTGTAAGTCAATATGTAGAGCCATTCATGCTTGCACTCATTGTATCTAGATCACATTCAACAAATATCATACGTCACTGCAGAATTAAGGTTTCATAAATCGCAAATGACTTTGGTAGCCAGGGTTCCATTTACATGTGGTGGCAATGCACAGCAAATGTACTTTACTCTGTGTTTAAAATCTAGTACTTAACCCTTTCACCACCGTAGATCATAATGGGTTCACTCCGATAAATGCATGATAGAGTCCACTAAAGTTACCTAGGGGTGAAAGGGTTAAAGTGCTGGTAAACATTTACAAAATATTACATTGCCGTTTCTTTTACATTATATAGGTTCTCCCAATTTTGTTTTAAATGGTGATTTGTTTTTGCAGTCAATTTCTTTTTTAACGCAGAGTTCTCTGTGAAAATGTAGAAAATTCACTGTTACAGAAGGAGCACAATAATGATTTAATATGTTATTTGTAGACTGCTGAGTTGCATCACTTGTGTTGCTGTCCAGACGCCTGTGTTAATGGACTACCCTCAGGTAAACAATAAATATGTACAATCATGTACTAGGGGTAGGACAGTGGGCTCGTGACTGAAGGGTTGCAGGTTCGAGTCACGGCACGTCATTGTGTGGTATCTTTGAGCAAGATACTTTACTCCGCTTGTTCCAGTCTACTCACCTGTAAAATGAGTATGTGGTTGGGTAGTGCTAGAATGGTAGAATGCTAGCTGTGAGTGCCATAATGGCAGCACCAGCTGTATGCTCCCCAGGGAGTTGAGAAAGATATTGGCTGGTGGTTGAAAAGGCCCTATAACCACAGATAATAATTTGTGAACCGCTTTGAGACAACCTATGTAAGAACCTTGAAATATTATAATTATTATTATGGTAAGTACGAGGATGGTAATTACTTAACTTCTAAATAGATTTCTTAGATGTAACCATACAGTACTTGTTACGTTTCAGAGCTGCCGCCAGAACCGCCGAGCCCAGACAGTTCTAATCTGTTGGTGATTGTCGCGGGTAATGCTGGAGTAATACTGCTGGCCTGTGGTGTAGGCGTGATGTGTTACCTGAAACGTACCCACCTCCAGTTCTATTCCAAATTACCAGGTACGTACAATCACTTATCAACAATGTGACCCTCCTGTGTGGATTTGAAAAGAAATTTTAGAAGGAATGATTATATTAGCAAGCACATCCACATGAGCCTGACGTATGATATTCAGAAACCTGCAGGGGCCTGTTCGTTTATGCGGAACAACCAGTTTGTCCGTTTCTAAATGTACCATTTTCGGGTATAAATCCTGGGGGACTTGCAAATGTTTATGCAGGCCTTGCAAGGCTTTGCCAAGGCTCGCCTGAAAGCAGCATCAGATTACTGGGTTTGACCTTATTTCATAAACGAGCAACTTTGGTCCAACCGGTTCAACCGTTTGGATCGCGATAAAAGAAAACGGCCCAGTTCTACATTTACATCTACATACTGCTCCAACTGTTGGTCTGTGGTGTCAAGTCCTGTTTATAATGTATATATAAAATCCCTTTAATAAATGTTTCCAGGTTTCTGGTCTCATTCCCTTTTCCCACTATTACCATCATGCGAATGCACACTTTCCCTTGATATCAACCATACACCAGTGCATATTTGTCTCATCTACTTGTACGTGTTACTGCTGACTCTACAACAAATTCAAAATCAAATTAACAGTTGTGACTGCTGTTATTACAGGTGATATATATCATACCAGCTAAAGCCAGGTGTGGTACATTACTTGTTACAAGTGTGTCATAGCAAGCTCAAGAGACAGGTGTGATACACTACTTTTTACAGGCGTGTCATAGCAAGCTCAAGAGACAGGTGTGATACACTACTTTTTATAGGTGTGTCATAGCAAGCTCAAGAGACAGGTGTGATATACTACTTGTAACAGCTAGAGACAGGTGTGATACACTACTTGTTACAGGTGTGATACACTACTCGTTACACCTAGAGACAGGTGTGATACACTACTCGTTACAGCAAGAGACAGTTGTGATACACTACTTGTTACAGCTAGAGACAGGTGGTATTCACTTCTTTTTACAGCTAGAGACAGGTGTTATACACTACTTGTTACAGGTGTGATACACTACTCGTTACACCTAGAGACAGGGGTGATACACTACTCGTTACAGCTAGAGACAGGTGTGATATACTACTTGTTACAGGTGTGATACATTGTGTGTGTTACAGGTGTGATACACTACTTGTTACAGCTAGAGACAGGAGTGATACACTACTTGTTACAGCTAAAGACAGGTGTGATACACTACTCGTTACAGCTAGAGACAGGTGTGATACACTACTCATTACAGCTAGAGACAGGTGTGATACACTACTCGTTACAGCTAGAGACAGTTGTGATACACTACTTGTTACAGCTAGAGACAGGTGTGATACACTACTTGTTACAGCTAAAGACTGGTGTGATACACTACTCATTACTGCTAGAGACAGGTGTGATACACTACTTGTTACAGCTAGAGACAGGTGTGATACACTACTTATTACAGCTAGAGACAGGTGTGATATACTACTTGTTACAGGTGTGATACATTGTGTGTTACAGGTGTGATACATTACTCGTTACAGCTAGAGACAGGTGTGATACATTGTGCGTTACAGGTGTGATACATTGTGTTACAGCTATATCATCGTTGGCTAGAGACAGGTGTGATACATTACTTGTTACAGCTAGAGACAGGTGTGATACATGGTGTGTTACAGGTGTGATACATTGTGTTACAGGTATATCATATCAGCTAAAGACAGGTGTGATACATAACTTGTTACAGGTGTGATACATTGTGTGTTACAGGCATACAGCAGCCAGCTACTATTCAGTATCAGTTAGGTAGTATTGAACAGAAAATGGATGGCAAGATTGTCGATGGAGCTTGTCCTTCAGCCTTCCGTGACTACGAACTTGAGAGTTCAAGAAAGGAGAAGAAATTTCTCATCCCAGTGCTAGAGGACTGTGTTATTCCAAGTCAGGAGCTAGAAATGGCACAGAGGTATGGGCATACAATACATAGATATATTCTCTAGGAGTCCTATTGTATCGGAAAATAATTTGTTAAGATAAAAATAATTTGCAAATGGGTTTATATTGTAATGAGGAAGGAAATATGAACGGCCAGATTGAGATTTGAACCAATGGGACCTCCAAACTCTTAAGACAAGGGATGTCGCATACAACAATGTAATAGAAGAGTAAAACTGCATGGCGAGACCGGGATTCAAACCCGGGACATCCTAGCCCGAGTTTTCTCTGCTCCTGTCACCAGACTCAGACTTCTATCTGTCAAAATGTCTTAGTCAGGAGTCAGGGCCAGAGGAAACTCCCGCCAGGGACCTCCGTACTCCAGACGGATGTTCTAACAAAATGAGCGACCTACCTGGTTGTCGGCAATAGTCCAGTTCCACTACAATTATATAGCAATCTGCTAATTTGATAGTTTCATTTTTTTTTTTTTATGTCAGAATATTTTTATGCCCCCACCATAGAATGGGGGGACGCGAGGGGGGGGGGGGCATACAGTACTAGTGTTGCCCATGTCTGTAGTGTTGCATCCTGATTCAATGTAATCACTTAGCAAATTCATTCTTTCACAGATTTTCGTCAAACTTAATACAAAGGTCAAGTACAAGTATACCTCGGAGATCATTGTGTTTTTGGGGCATTTATGTCTTACAGACATTTTCTAGTTTAAAATATTCTTTTCTGCACAACATTAGAAAATATTTACATCTCTTAGCAGAACAGTCATGTTTTAATTGACTAAGTGAGTGATTTTGTGTATGACAGACTTGGAGGCGGTATTTACGGGGACACACATGTCGGACACTGGCAGGGTATGAAAGTCGCTGTCAGTCGAATTACCATCAATATACATGCCAACCAAGTCAACTCCGAGGTGCTCAAATTTATGAGAGATGAAGTCTGGTTTTTAAGGTAAGTTTTTCTCTCACCAGTTCAGCTTTCCTTAGGATAGCAAAATGAATCATACTCTAACTGTAATTAATTATTGTACAAGTGTTTTTTGCAGTTGATTTAACTCATTCACCCCTGCAATTTTATAATGAATTATTCCAACCATTAAATTGGGCAAGTTCAAATATGTCTTCAGGGGTGAATGAGTTAAATACTTTCCCAAAGTCTTGTCTGAGAATCAGGATTTTGTGGAGAGATACGTCCTGTTGATAAATAAACCACTTGGCCAGTTGAGAGTTTTCTGCTTTAGATACTTCAATAAATACTGAAGAAATTTCAGCTGTGAGATTTCGTCGTCATGATTAAAGACATCTTTAATGGTTTTGGTTATTTGAGAAAGATGGCTGCCAGGTACTGTACCTACTTTCCCCTCCTATTTCATCATAAGATGATGTTTTATATGCCTGTCAAAAGTGTTAATGATTTTGGAATTTCGACACTTTGACATTTATAAACAAACAGATGTTGACTTGTAAGCTTATGATAAGTGGTAGTTTATTCAACCAAACACCATCTCTCCTTAGAATCAAGGTTTCTGGGTGACTATAAACATCATCTCACCTTAGAATCAAGGTTTCTTGGAGACTATAAACACATTCTCGCCTTAGGATCAAGGTTTCTGGGAGACTATAAACACCATCTCACCTTAGAATCAAGGTTTCTGGGAGAATATAAACACCATCTCACCCTAGAATCAAGGTTTCTGGGAGAATATAAAAACCATCTCACCCTAGAATCAAGGTTTCTGGGAGACTATAGCAGTCCAGTTATCTCCCTTACAGCCATCTGTGTAATCAGGTATAAGATTCTGAAGTTTGGTATGAATAGTTTGCCAGCTTTCGAACACGTCTGTTTCCTATGTCAAGCAAAGATTTGCACCCTTTGCTTGACAAAGGAAATATATGTTTTCGAAAGCTCGCAAAAGTGGAGTAAAGTATCTTGCTCAAAGATACAACACAGTGCCGTGTCATGACTCGAACCCTTCGGTCACGAGCCCGGCGTCCTACCACTAGACTACCATGCCTCCTATATGGTGCTTTAATTTACAGAAATTACTAATAAAAGCATTTAAAAAAAAAAAAAAAATGGTATTAGGTCTGACTTTTATTATATTTCAGTCGTCAGAGACATCGCAACATTGTGTCAATGATTGGTCTGTCTGTAGAAAAGAAACTGCCGTACATCATTTCTGAGTTTGTGCACGGGGAGAGTGTCAAGTTCTTCATACAGCATCGCAGCTCCTCGATCACTTGGCCTCTCAGGATTAAAATTGTAACTATACTGGCTAACTGTTGTACCATATTAAGGCATTGATATATGGTAACATGACCTCGGAAATTGAAAGTCATCCAGATTGATTTGATCTGTGATAGCTGAGTACTTATAATCACTTCACGATATACATTTGGATATATTTGGATTTCCTGTTTCCTAACCCAATGTTAATCTGAAATCTGGAAGGTATTATGGGCCTAAATTATCTGTTTGGATTTCTTGTTTCGTAACTCAATGTAAATATGAAATCTGGAAGGTATTTTGGGCCTGTGTTATATAATATATATCTGTAGTACTGTGAACTGATTTATTCAAACAAAAATAAAATTCCTATTTTAAATCAAAAGGTGTGTGTTAGATTTATCAGGTGTCACTTCATCAATGGGAATTATCTTCCTTCAGATATGTATACGTGTCCCATAAATACATGGAACATGCAGTTATATTTTGATTTTGGCTTTTCCTGAATTATAGACTTGTTTCAGTTACTCAGTATATAACCTTAAATATAGACAACACATAAAGTGATGACATAGAATACGACAATGTTTAGCTCAGTATTTGTAATTCCAACTTCTGATTGTTTGAGGTAGCTTGTGTTTTGTGTAAAACTGTTTTGTTAACGTTTTTTAACTTTAAAAATTATAATCCGTCTTTTAAAATTCAATTTTAAGAAATACCAATGATTATTTTGGGGGTTGTATGGTATGTATGCAGAGAAAACGGTGTGTACTTTATTTGTTATATGAATAATCTTAACAGAGATTCTTCGATTTGATTTTGAGGTGTTACAATATTTGATATGAAGAATCAGCCAATCATATCATTACACATTCTTTTCATTCTTCAGTGTCTGCAGACCTCAGATGGAATGGCCTATCTTCATTCTACAAAACCTACCATTTTACACAGGGACCTGCGCTGTGCAAATATCTTCATCACACACAATAACATTGTGAAGGTAGGAGCAAAGGATTATGGGAAAAATTATATATAAAGCATTGTTTTTGTAAATATAGATTTTATCATCAACTAGAGTATATGTATGACAAGGGGCCAGGGTGGCTAAGTGGTTAAGGGGTCTGACATAGCCCTCCACCACTTGGTCGCGGGTTCGAGGCCTACGTGGGGCAGTTGCCAGGTACTAGCTGCAGGTCGGTGGTTTTTCTCCGGGAACTCTGGCTTTCCTCCACCACCAAACTCTGTTACGTCCTTAAATGACCATAGCTGTTAATAGGACGTAAAACACAAACAAACCAAACCCATTTCCTCCAGTACATTACTATTACATTAGTTATTCGGTATATTGCTTATGGCTAATACAATCTGCTGGCATTCAACAGCATAATGTCAGCAGGGTTGGTTTGTGAAATCGAAAACCCTGGCATTTAATAGCATGATATAAATTGAGTAACATTACATCAGTAATTTAGGCATTTTAAGTTGTTTCTATGTATTCAACAGTAACAAAAAGCAGGTGTGATTGTAATGTGAGAATATTTTAAAAGGATGAAAATATACTGTTAATGATAGGATCACATATTCATGTCTTGGAATTGAACTGATCAGGAAATTGTTGTTTTTGTAAAGACCTCCATCTGAAAGAGGGAATGAGGTTTCGTTTAAATTTTGAAACTCTCTCAACAAAGTTAAGGACGGAGGCGAAGGTATACCCAAATAAGAGTGTCTGAAACTTGATACTTATGATGGAAACCTTAGTTTGTGCTTGTGATTGACTTTTTGTTTCAGGGATATTGTTAGGAGTTATGCCCCTTTTCTGATTTCCTTCTAAAGATTTTGTCTGAAGCACTGCTACTTACATTATTGATTGATATTTATGAAACTTTTTACGCATCATCAGGACCCTTCAAATTTATAGCTGTGCCTGGACGATTTATTTTGGATTTGCACTATTTCTAGGAGTTATGCCCCTTTTTTTATATGAAAATCGATATAACAGTGTTTTTGTCTCGCCGCCACGAAGTAGCGGAAGTGAGACTAAGATGCTGCTATTACGGCGACGGCAGCGTCAACATTAAGTTTTTGGATTTTTGTTAGTTTCACTGAAAGTACAAGTGCTAGACCAAACTACATCTGAACCCATGCCTCAAATGCTGGAAGCGACCTACCTTTTATGGTCAATTGACTTTGTCAGCATCTCCATCAACATTAAGTGTTTGCGTTTAAGTTAGTTTCTCTGAACATTTTAGTGCTACACTAACCAAACATGACATGTGAGCATGCATTGATGGTCAAAGCGGGACACAGGCGAGACATATCAATCCGAATGGCTTGTATCAGAGGGGATGGGATATGTTGTTAGTCTGTGGCTTACAATTGTAGTTCCTTGTTTTTCTGTATCAGAATCATCCATATATACATATACATGTACAACAAACAATAAACATTGAGGGATGGAATGGGACGCTTTAAGGGTAAAATGCAATGACAGCTGTGTTATATTTTCTATGTTGCATTGGCATAACGTAATTTAAACACCATATTTAATTTATAATGGTAAATTGTCACATTAACTTTATAATATTTGTTTTCAGGGATTACTGGTGTTTATCTAATTGAAATGATTGTTATTTTGTTTATCTAATTGAAATACCGGTAATTGTAATTTTGTTAATCTAATTGAAATAACGGTAAATGTAATTTTGTTTATCTAATTGAAATAATTGTAATTTTGTTTATCTAATTGAAATACCGGTAAATGTAATTTTGTTAATCTAATTGAAATCTTTGTTAAATCACAGGTGGGTGATTTTGGTTTGATCAAACTTATACAACCATTCCGGGAGATGTGCCAGGCAGAGGAGTGTTGTTGTAAGTATCTCAGTTAAATATTACGTTGATTATTACGTTACAGATAAGTACATGTAGCTGGGCAGTATAGTTTTCACTTAATTTAAATCACACTGGGTAGAAATATATTATTATCATTTCATACAGATAATTTCTGATTTGTCTTATAATCATTCCTGGCTTAAAGTATTTGCACACGACAAGGGCCTGAGTAAACTACATGTGCAGTAAATGTCCACTCATATCACGCCACATTTCATACACACTTAATAAATTTACGGTATTAGGATTGGGAGATGTGTATTATATTGTGTTCTTGCTCGGCTTTGAACTGCTTTAACAAAAGGAAAGTTCCATAAAGTGTGCTTTATGATATTTGATCTGAACCTGTAATAATTATAAGAGACGATTTAATGTACCCTAAAGGTGGTGTCTGAACAAAGGTTTGACCGAACATGTATTCTTAGTATTCTTCCATCATTGGAAATCTTCGATTGAGATTGTTGCGATGTATCATACAATGTAAAACGATTTACAATTGTCTAAGAAATATCAAGAATATTAATAAGACAACAGCATTTTATCTTCACATGCAATATCTAATCTATACCATAGGTAATGTTTATTTCCGTAGAAGAACTTAACCCTTTCACCCCTATGTAACTTTAGTTAACTCTTCCAGGCATTGATCTGGATGAGTCCATTTTGGTCTCCAGTGGTGAATGGGTTAAAAGTGTCAAAAATTATCATTTATAATGTCATAATTCCTCAACATTGATGGAACTCTACAGAGTATTCCTAACTCATTTGGACTGACAAATTGGTTAGATTTATATGATAATATTATTAGACAGTCGTAGAGCAAAGTTTTATACACATTTGATTCTGGTAGGAAATGTGAAATACTGAAAATCATCAATTCATTAATATATCTGCAAGCTGGCTGATATCTCCAGACTTTTAAGTGTTACTCTCTGGTGATGCAGGCCAGAGTCACCACAGTGCCTGTCCGATGTCGGTGCGGTGGACGGCTCCGGAGATATTACAGAATCCTGCCTCTAAGGAAGCAGAAGGAACCATCACAACCAGTTCGGATGTGTTCTCTTTCGGAATGGTCATGCTGGAACTTCTAACACTGGAGGATCCATTTGATGAGGTGGAATCAGAAGAACAGGTACGCTGCTGTAGACAATACTTTCATCTTAAGGCCGTATTCTTCTGAGGTTTTATCTTGTTAACAGCAAATCCCACAACTATGTCTGATATGTCCATGCAGTTCAGTTCACAAATGACCATTGATTTGAAATTTTGGAAAGACACCTCTTGTTCTTTATCAGAAAAAGCGCTAACAATATGTAACTCTCAAAAATACTGCTTAGGATAATAAAAAAAACACCACTTGTAATGATCGAGAAAGAACTGTCTGTGTTTTCTTGGAAAACAAACTTTTACTCTCATAATCCAAGATGTTTTCTTGGAAAACAGACTTTTACTCTCAAAATCCTGTTGGCTATCTTGCTTTCCGAGTTAATTCCAAAATTGATACGCACAACTAGGGACCATAGGGCACCTGTATGTGAAATTAAAGACAGTTCCCTCTCTTTCCGAGAAATTTAATAGCTGACAAGAATTGTTTAAGGACTTATGAACCATGATTGAATGGTGGTTTAAATACTCACCCTCTGATGACTGTTGGCTTAGAATATAAGGGCACTTATTGTCACTCTAACAACCCATAGTTTATCTTAGATCTACATTCCTCACTACATCTTCTAATCACTTTGTTTAAAGCGCAACCCCCGTATATTTAATACTAAAAAGTGCCTCACTATCCACCACCTCCTCAGAGTGGAATTAAAAAAAGGGTTACTGGCCCAAATGTGCAGTTGAAATATAAATTCACAGGTCCTGTTTGAAGTGCACTGGTCCAGAAAACGAGGGCCGGAGGCTTGAGCGAGTGCCATACAGTAGGCACTTGATATAGTAGGGGGCGTGGGCATGCCCCCCAAAATGTTTGGGTTTAAAATAAAGCTTTTTCAAATCCACTGAAATATTAGATAAATTTACATAATATCTACTGGCCCAATGGGATAGCTTGCTGAAAAAACTACTGGTCCACCCAGAAAAGCACTTGCCACAGGCCAGCGGACCAGCAGTTAATTCCACCCATGGCCTCCAGTATTTGTATCTGGAGTAAACCTTACATAGTGTTAGGAAGTCAGAGTTGCTATAATTACCTTTCTCTAATGACTCTGGCTATTGTAGGTATCGGAGATGATCCAGGAGGGGGCAGAGCCAGACCTACCACAGGACATGGAGATACTTCCCCAGTACAAAATTCTCATGCAGCAATGTTGGCATAGCAACCCAGAACATCGACCCACATTCAAACAGGTATAATCAGAAACCCCTTCTCAATCAGCACTTGTATCATAACTGAGGTAATTCTGTTATTAGGGCCCCGCATCAGAGAATTGATAAATGGGTGCCCTAAAGTAATCACGTTGAACATCTGTTTGTCTGTTCAAACTTTCGTTTCCAGAGATTATATTGAAATCGTAAAGTCTAATCATTTTTAAATTTGACATTGTGATACCCTGTGATATGAGGTTGTGCAATAGGGGTTTAAAATTGTTTAAGGTCACTGTTGCTTAAATAGACCATGAGGGTACAGTCTTTATCTCGGAATCCAAAAAACTGATCTTTTTGAAATTTGACGTACACTCTGATATGAAGATGTGCAATAGGGTTTTTAAAAAAAACAAGGTCAAGGTCACTGTCACTAATAATAGATGTCGGGGGGTACAGCCAGGATCATGGCGGGGCCCTTTCTGACCTGTCAGTGTTCTATAGTTCATTGGAAATGTTATGGTCACTGCTTAATGACTTATATTATCAATAATTTAATGTTTGAATCTTGTTAACTTCCTAATTAATTTTGCTTGAATCATGATTTCTATGTACCAGCCTGCCATAGGATAATAAACTCTAATCAAATTACTAAAATATTTTTTTTATATTTCCTGAAAAATGCACATTTCTTGTCTCTTTTAATGGAAATGAAAATTTGCAACAAAATGTTTGTGCAACGTTATACATTTGCTCAGTCCCCCTAAAATACAAAGTAATTGTGACAGATATCATTTTGAATTCGCTATATTGTCATGGCTGAGAAACAATTCTACAATTCTAGCACTACCCAACCATGTACTCATTTACAGCTGAGTAGACTGGAACAAGCAGAGTAAAATATCTTGTTCAAAGATACATAAACACAGTATTGTGACATGACTCAAACTCACAACCCTTCGGTCATGAGCCCGGCCGGCATCCTACCACTAGACTACTGTGTCTACGGTAGATAACCATCACAAATAACCATCAGCTTATTGAACAACCCGATATGTTTGGTCCATTCTGTTTCAGAACAGATTAAGAATTACCAGGTAAATACACAGGTTTTAAATTGAGAAGCCATTTTGGTGAATCTTGTTTCGTTGTTATCATTTTAGGTTGCCACAAGACTTAAAGAACTGATTCCACAGGCGAGAAACTTCCAGAAAGCTATCAGTGTTAAACAGAAATCCCCACAAGCCAGTGTTGTCTGAAGTAGTGGTGTGATACCTGTGTAGTTATGATGGAGGAAGATATACTTGATATATATCTACATAGATATACACAGGTATAATCTACATTGAAATATAAATTTTGATCTTGATTTCCGAAAATAGGACATGGAGCTTTGAGAACATGACAAATTTTGTCATAATATAAAGAGGTTCTGTCGAATTGGTATGTTGAAAATACAAAATTGTGCAGTGTTGTTTTGAATTGAAAGTATTACTGGCGACATTGCTGAGGTTTTGCTGCCAGTTCAAAACCGAGAGAATATATACAACTTACCTGAATTTTGCATACAGGTAGGGAAGAGTCTACTGTTGATATACCACATGTATCAAAACAAAGTCAACAAAATGAGAAATATATCAAGCTGTATGTTTGATGTGGTGTAACTGTCTTCCTTTTCTCGTCACAATTGTGACAACACCATAGAGAATGTATTGTAAGATTGAACTGTCGCATATCTACTTCTTAACTCATTAACCCCTGAAATTTCATAATGCACTATTCCAACCATTGAATTGGAAGAGTTCAAATGTGTCTTCAGGGGTGAATGAGGTTAATACCCCAAAACATTTTGGAAGACAGAAGATTCGGTACTCGGTTGTTTCCATACATGTATAAGACATATCGGTACTACCAATAAAGTAATTTTTATATTTTATAACATTTTCGGCACTTAGAAAGACTTTTTAATTTTGTTCCCTTTTTGTGTGTTAAGTGAGTTGCTGACTTCATATGTTAAGATTCTTTAGTATTTGTCATCTTTACGAAGAAGTAACAGTACTGAAACATCCTATTCTTAGGGACTGATACTACCTGGTACCGAATCGTCTAGGATTTAACATTTCTCTCTTGCTCATGTGCATCCTCGATACTCCAGGGGTTACGCTCACTTTCGCTCTCAACACACCTGGAATATGTCATAGCGAAATTGAAGGCTCAGTTTGCACCACCTTGTTGATGAGACAAAAAGACTAGTTTGATCTTTTGATGTACATCAAAATAATCTCGCGGTCATGTTATGGTAAAAATTGACGGGCTTTGAAGTCAGGTGTCGCTCCTTTGTAATCTTCAAAGGACAGGTATCAGCCTAGCGATTGGTCAGATTTTTTTACCCGAGGCCAATCAAACGGCTATCTTCGTGCCTTCAATTTTGCTAGGACATATTCCAGGGATGCAGATTGTGTAATTGAGCGTAACCCCTGTAGTGTTGAGGATGGCTCACGTGTGGATGGTAGAAAATCCAATCAGTTTGTGTTTTATACATAGCTTTTAATATGTTATTCATTATTGGCAGCTGTATTCCTTAGTCACAGTAAAGGGAAGAGACTCTCACCAATATCTTGTCGGCAGCTTTCACCATGTGCCGTGTCATGTTGAATGGATTTTTATTAAATTCTATAAGATTTAACTTTTGCAATGAAAATGAAAAGTTAATGTATACTTACATGTATGTATATATATCTCATGGATTATATATTAGCACTGTTGTAGTACTAACGTACTGGAGTAACACTGCCTTATGTCAGGTTGTTATATATATATATATATATATATATATATGCTATTACAGTTGTACTGCCAAATTTCTGTTTCTTTTAATTTGGAAAGCTCAGCATTGTACTGGATACAATTTATATTACTTTGATTTGTAGAGTCAGACCTGCTCAAAGTTTAATTCCGTTAACTTTTTAAAAATACCAATCACCAGTTAGGTCACTCCATATAAGGACCTGTTCAATACTCCAGAGGTTACACTCATTTTTGCTCTCTGCACCCCTGCAGTCAAGTCTAGTTTGATTCTTTGATATGCATAAAAAAAATCGCTGGGCATTATAATGGTTGATTGATTGGTTTTACGTCCGCTTCACTACCGAGTAGTTCGGTTATCCAGCAGACGATCGTACATGTATAATGGTAAAATTGACTGGCTTTTTAGTTGGGTATTTTGCTCAACTGTAATCTTCAAAGGACAGTTATCGGCCTAGCGATTGGTCAGGTCTATTTTACCCAAGACCAATCATAAAGCTATCTTAGTGCTTTCAGTTTTGCCGTGATATATTCCAGAGGTGCAGAGAGTGTAAGGTAGCGTAACCCCTGAGTATTGAAGATGAGTTAAGGTGTGCTGTAGTTGGACTGTTCTTATACTCACACGTTCTCTTGTGTTTGATGTCCGTTATCCCTGAATGTGAAGTGCCTTAGGGTTATCTCATTGTGACACGATAAGATGCTATACAAATGTTTTTTGACAAGGAATAATTGACAATCCATGATGGTATAAAATGCTGTATTATTTATACACTATAAGACAGCAGTAATATCATATAGTTGAGACCACCTGCCATAAATATAGGTTTATTTTTTTAATTTCTTTGTTTTATAATTATCTGAAAGGGGAATAGACTGGTGAATGCAAACAATGTTTTTTTTAAATGAAAATTCCAAAACTTTACCATACTTCTTCCAAAATTTCATTCAATCATGTCACAGCATATACAAATTGTTTCAAATGTTTTATGCTTACATCACAAGTTTAAACCCGTAAATAAAACAAAGTTGAAAATAACGGTTTGAGCTGGTCAGTGCTGTACATCTGTTCCCCTTTCCATTGTTGTAACAATTAATTTAAAGTGATTATGATAATGGATATCTGTGTTTTATAGTATTGTTGATATTTCTACCTATCTGTTCACATTCTCTGGCTGGAATATATTTTTACAGGTGTACACAAAACCAAGTTTTTATTTGGAATTTAGACTAAGGTTCCTATTATAATGCTGAATATAAAATAAATATTGATGTCAAATTTTAAATTTTGAATTTAAATGTTACCTGTTGAACAACTATTAAATTGTAAACACAGGTATTTCTCACTGACAATACAACATGTTGTATAACCCCAGTAGCCAAACTCCTTTTAGCAGGATATTATCCGTTGTTATCTGCTGATCAAGTAAACAAATTGAAAAGAGAGTGCATTCTTGACATTTTGATTTTTACACTATACACGTAGTAAGATCATGATTTTGTCCTCCACAGAATTTTGTCTGCCCTTGTTGTTCATTTGAAGTTTTCAGAGTGCAAATTGAACATTGATATTGGGTTATGAAGACCAATGCTTTGAATGAAATATTTTAACTCATTCACCCCTGAAGACACATTTGAACTCTTCTAATTCAAAGATTGGAATAGTTCATTGTGAAATTTTAGGGGTGAATGAGGTAAAGAACAATTAAAGGACAAGGTATGTTATATATTAATTATAAAAGCAATACCACATGTGTTCATCCGACATCAGACGGACATGTGTGCCTGATCCCACGATTAGTGTGATAAGGCAATGCAAACGCCTGTCATATATTTTATACATGTATAAGAACTTATCTGATAGTACATATCCTGACACAAAACTTTAACAAGAGGCCCATGGGCCTTAACGGTCACCTGATATATTTATACAGAGAGTTGATTTTGTTTTTAACATCAACAGAAATATTATTCAAAGTGACAAAAAACAATAAAACCACCTTACTCAATATCTAGCATACAGATTTCAGACTAAAAAGGATTTGAAACTAGCATCTCTGATTCTTAACAAGGAAAATGAAGAAATTTTAGCACACTGACTCCTTTGAGCCCCACCCTACAGCCCTTGGGGGTAGGGCTGGCTCAAAATTTTCAAAGTATCAAACTGTCAATTCAAGGTTATAATTCCAATCAAGTTATTAACATGTAATATTCAAAGTATCATTTGCCATTATAAACCATAATAAATTTT